TTCTTTTACTATTGTCCCATGGATAATTTTTTGTGGCCCATATCATATGCATGAAATAAAGAGAGATATCTTGCTGCAAGGCCTGTCATTTAGCTCAATTAATTGTAACTACTACTTTGACTATTATATTTGATGGAGGCCCATATTGGTTAGAAAACTAAACCTGGTAAAACCATGTCAAAAGCACAATCTACACCTCCCAAACAAGTGATTTTTAAATTACACCCAGGCAAGCAAACCATCAATTAAAATTGCACACATTGATAGAATTCATCAATCTAAAGAATAACAACCTCCAAACAACCCCTAACTATGAAAAAAAAAACAATGGAATGTGAGATTGATTACTATCTAGACCTAATGATATATTTCAATTTTCAAACATGCATAGCAAATCACAACAATGGAGGTTGCCATGTCGCGAAGATATTGCTCAATAAACAGTATCATTTATAATTGTAACTTCATCGCGAAGATATTGCTCAATTACACTTATGGAAAACTTCATACACTTTCTTACCAATGTTTACAATTCTTGTGGTGTGTGTCGTGCTAGATTATTTCATTGTTGCTTACTGTACCCAAAAATAGTGGCAGTGGCAGGAGTGCAATTTTTCCTCAACGACGAGGGCAAAGGCTTAAGAGGTCGACTATATAAAAAAGTGGCTCTAACCCTAAACAAATACATCTAAGTTATTCTCTTTCCCATTCCCATCTACGTTATTCTCTTTCCCATTCCCTCCGCCTTCCTCCTCCCATTTACTTTATTCTCTCCCCCGTTCTTCGTGTGACTGAGTACGTGGAGATTGCCGTCGGAGGATAATGACTATCACTTTCATTGCCCTGACCAATTATGAATTCCTTCTAGATTATTCTTCTTCTTGTGATAGTGGGTCCACCCCAGACGGAGGTAATATCCCTAAATCCTAACCTAATCATCACAGTTAACAATCGATATTGACACCTACATGTTGTTGATCTTCCCTAACGCAAGTACAGTATGTTGCTTTTAACTCGCCAAGCCCCTAAGGCGGTACTTAGCACAACCCATGACGGTATAAGGCAACACGACCTAGGTAATGGTGGGGGTTTTGGTTTGGTCCACGAGATTGAACTCGTTATATAAGCTTTGATCATCAATGTTAACAATCGATTTTGGCCACAAAAATTATTGTGGAACCAGTACCTCATGTAGTGCTTTCAGTTCTCCTTATGTAAGTTGCGCATTTTCTATTTCGTAATAGTGGTGCTTCTGTAAACCAATAATTAAAGAAACCACCCCACCATTTTTCTTACCCAATGCAAAGGACTGCCCAGAATTATAGTTATTTATAAAATAAAAAAATATTAATTGCCTTTCTAATAAACGCGTCATCCACATCAGCTCTGTAACCCTCATCCATGAGTTTCGCTCAAATATCTCTTAATTCGGGAGATTTTTTGAACAAGCGATCTTTACACGGTTCTCGTTGCGCGTAAAATTAATTTGAGAGCCTAAGTGAATATATTTGTTGGTCTTCTTCCGATACGTTAAGTTTTATGCGAAGGGAAATAACTTCAAAGACTCTCCTACAATGACACATACAGTTCTATGAATATTACCCTATTTAAGTATTCCTATGTGAGACACCCTATTTTGTGAAATACAGTCATGTTAAGGGTTTGGGATGAATAGCAAGAAGGAATTGATTATCCATCCACAATGGGTGTCATTTCTTTATTTCATTGTAACATGACAAATTTCAGTTCCTATTTCATTGTTGTGGCTCTTATTTCATTCGTGAAGTACTTCATTAAGTTACGTTAAAGTAATTATATTAGTCATAATGCCTTCACTTGAGTTTAATGAGGCATTGGCCTTACAATGCTAGAATCTGGTCAATAATAAAAATAAGGATAGAGGTTGTTTGGTTGTATGATGTGGAATGCAAACATAAAGTTGCATGTACTAAAAAGACCCCCCTTGTATACCTTTCCATGGAATGACATTGGTAATTAGCTTCACATAGCGTGTAATTAAAAGGTAAGTAGAAAAATTTAAACGAATTCCTCACCAATTAAAAATAATCAAAATTCATCACTAATTAATACCTATTGCTTGGCCCACTAAGCCCATAAAAGAATCACAAATTCGATCCCAAATTATTGCGTTACTCTACGCCAATCATTTGGTTAATTCGCAAACACAATTTATGATGACTATCCACAGTTCAAATGAAATTTTGTCTTCGTCGTCTTCTTCCTTCGGCAGAAACAAACCCTAAATATCATTGATCAGCAAGCCATAGATTAACCTTCAACAAGAAACTTCACACGTGAATACTAAATAAAATAAAAGACAAACAACAGACTTGCACTGTGGTTTATATGAATTGCTGTGTACATTAATAAACATGTTGTATACCTTATTGGACTTACAGTAAGATTTACGACAAGTCTGTCCATTGTCAACCGTAGCTGAGCTTATCCATAAGTTTTTTAATAACAAATACATCTTACACACCTATTCCTTGGCCCATTAAGCCTATATGAGAATTCATAATTGAATCCGAAATTATTGAATTACTTTAAGCCTAATCAGTCGCATTATTTCACAGACACGTTTTATCCTAACTATCCACCCACAAGTCGGTTAAAATTATATCTTCGTTGTCTTCTTCCTTCACCCGAAACTAACCCTAAATATCACTTATAATAAAGCCATATACAAGAAGCTTAATGGCAAAACTAAAATAATAAAACAACAATACAAGAACCTTGTGGTGATCCCAGAACAGAATACACCTACCTAGAACAAGAATAGCAAAACTAAATAAATAAAGGGGCAAGACAATATACTTGTGTCGTGTTTTTATAAACATGTGGTTTGCTCTACGTTACTTGTGGCATACAATAATAAACTTGTGGTCTACGTTATTGGTCATGTGGTGTGCTTTAACGAACTTATGACGTGCATTTTTAAACTTGTGGTCTGCTTTGTGCAATCGTGTAATAGAGAGAGGCGGCTAGTGTACCATGCTTCTTGATTTGGGACAAGTGCTCTGGTCGGAGATGGCGAATGATTGTTTGAATGGAAAGAGGAAAGAAGAAGAGTGTGTAAATCGTAATTGCTTGGATCGAATTATCAACATAGAACGGGGTTGTGAACCCAAATTTCTGGACTGAAATTGAATCGATTGTCAGAATAGAGGAGGCGGTGAGAGATGGGAGATAGAAACAGAGAGAAAGAGGCTGGCGGTACGAGAGGAGGAGAAAAGGGTTGGGTGGTTTGCAGATGAGGGTTGGGTCGTCTTGCCAAAACATGACTTTAGTTCATACGTCCTGGCCGACCATCCGACGGAAGTGGATTAGAATGTAACGTTTTTGGGTTGTGGGGGACTGGTACTATAATTTTATTATAATTTCACAAAAATAAAGCCCGCTAATTATCTCGACCGTTGAGATGGATCGCACGGCAGAGATTGATGGTGTACCACATACCTCCATATTTGGGTGGTGAACGATAGAATGGTCCATATATATATATTAAAAAATAATTCAATATCTTTTTCTTTCGTGATGAATCGGTATATTTTAAATTTCATTAGAAAAAACCCAAGTACAGCAAATGGAAACAACCCTGCCAACTGAGTAATCAACCAAATTAGGAACAAAACTCAAGTCTAAACATTCTCCTTCTACTATGTTTTCTATCTATACTGTCAAGAGCCAATAGTGGGATCAACTAAGAGCAAAATCGAGCTACGTCAATCCCTGAATCACTTCCACTTCTTTCTTTATCTGTGACATCAGCTCCAGTTCGGCCCTCAGCTCTCTCTCTCTCTCTCTCTCTCTAGCACTAAGCAAAGCTAACCAAATCAGCCTCCTTCGTCATAGAGGGAACAAACTTACCTTTGAATGCACTAGTAGCCCATTGGAGTTCCACATCCCAATAATCTCTCGGGATCCTATCTGTAAACCCAGCAAGCAAGCCTACAAACACCTCCTTGAAATAAGGGCAAGCAACTAACAAGTGGATCTCGTCTCCAGAATGTGAGAGCAAAACCAACGTGAGAAAGGACTAGCTAACCCCAGTTAACCATCTTATCACATGTCTGCATATAGTTCTTCACAATCAAACAGGCTACTTTAAAATTAAACCCCAGTGGATCTTGTATCCATAAATGACACTTTAAATTTTGGAAAACGATTATTTAACCCCGATAGTAGTTTGCATATGGGCAAATAAAAATATTAAGTGGTATCCTATGTGATTTGAACTTGGGTAACTGCTACTATTAGTAAATATATTTTTCATTAGACTACAAACTCATTAGTGCATTATAGTCATATTTTCTAGAGAGAATAAGAGATGAGATATTGTTGATGTCTCATTATTAGGATTATTAAATTTGTTGCTTCAAATTTTTTTTTTTCTTTTCAACTTTCTAAAAAAAGGAAAAAGCATTCAATTTCGTCAATTAGTATATTTGTACCAGCAAGGCAACAATGTTAAATTAATTAAGTCATCTTCAATGATTTTTCACAAATACTTTTTCATACTCTTTCATTCATCGAAAATTATTCTCCTCTTCTACTCAATTAAATTATCATCACCTATTCAGGTGAGTACAGTTAATTTATTAATTTTCAATTTAGTTATTATTTGGATTCTGATATTTTATTTCATCGTTTTATTTGAACCATTATGACTCTTTATTTTAAATAATATTGTAATTTTATTTATTTATTTATATTTTATTAAATTAAGAAAAAAGTTGGGCCTCATTTGTTTTGTAGAACAGGGGCTCTGCATTCTTAGGGCCGACTGATGAATTTCCGACCAAGCAACGGGTAGGACTAAATACTCCGTATAATACACGTATATGTACCCGTATGTAATTTTTCTGTTTAAAACTTCTGTATCTGTATTATTGTGAAGTCATTTCATTTTACCCCGTTCATTTGATGGCTACCGTACTAAACACGTATAAAACTCGTATAACGCGTTTAATATCCGTATTTAATGAATTAAATTGTTAACTTTACTATTATTTATATATTTATTTATTTTAAAATAATTAATTTTATATATTTATGACTATTAACGTACTATTAAACGTAACATTAACTTAAAAACGACGTAAAATATTCATACGTATTTTATACATAACTTTGCTGTATTGTATTTTACTAACTATGAGTCAATGAGTGGGAGACAAGGGAGAAAAAGTAAAGATTATTCGTAAAGTAGGATGAGAAGAGAACACGACCGGAAAGGATTGCCCGATAGCAAGCGCGCGCAAAGAGCTGAGCAGTGGTGGTGACTGGTGAGATGAGAGGTAAGTGGTAAGTGATAAGGAGCGCATCATCATCATCCACAAAGCCAAACATCACAACCCAACAAAAACCCTGAAGCACAGAAATAATCGGAACCCTAATCCAATTCAATCCACAAACAAATTTCCGCCCTCATTATTTTCTCTCACAAATTTCAAATAATCTTCCGCCACCCAAAATGCCGTTCCCTTTATCTCCTTCCTCTCACTTGGCGCTGCTGCGTTCCTTTCATCCACTCCCACACCATTGTTCAAAAACTATCTTACCACACAGAAAACCGGAACCGAGTGCACTCCAATGGCGATGGCTATGCCGCTGCTTCGCCGGCTCTCCTCTTCTCTCAACCACCCTACCCGCCCTTTCCTCACTCCTCTCTGTTACAAGGTTTCTCCCCGCTCCACTCTCACTCCATCCCCATATCATATACATGTTTCAATTACGACTGATGCTTTTCCTTCTTGGTTAGTCTTCCTTGCCTGATGAAGCTGTTTACGAGAAGGAGAAGCCCGGCGTCACCGTAAGCCTCCCGCTGTTACTGAATTGCTGCTTTTCGTACTTTCATATTTGGCGATTGGATTCGCCGTCTTCTGTTTCGATTTACTCTGCTTGCTGTTTTTTTTCTCCCTCCTTCTGCAGTGGCCGAAGCAGCTCAATGCGCCGCTGGAAGTCGTGGATCCTGAGATTGCTGACATCATCGAGCACGAGAAAAATCGTCAGTGGAAGGTACGTATATTACTTTGCTCAGCTCGTTCTGCGTTTACGATCGATAATTGAGCTGATGATGTTGCTAGCTTGTTTTGGAAGTCAAGACAGTATGAACTCCTTGAGCAACAAGTTTCAACCTCAGTTTCCTTTTTCTCACAAAGTTCGGCTGCTCGAGTTGCCATTTCGCTGTATCAGCTGTCTTTTGGGTGTAGTTAGTGAGCCGACATAAGCAATATATAGCTATTTCACCAATCAATTTTGGATTCGTCAGACGGTTTAGGGCTCGAAGTGTACTTGCCGTCCTTTTGTTGATTCTGGATTATGTATCTTGCTCTCGTTGTTCAGTAGCACAACGCGTGATAGTAACTTGGCTATGCATTTTTTCTGTGAAGGGCCTGGAACTCATACCCTCAGAGAACTTCACTTCGTTATCAGTGATGCAAGCAGTTGGATCCGTCATGACCAACAAGTACAGTGAAGGATACCCTGGTGCTAGATACTATGGAGGGAACGAGTAAGTCTTTGCACCTCTCTAATCTCTTCTTTTAATGGTGCTGTGTTATCTATCTTGCCAGAAATATTGTGGTTGGCTGCTATGTCACCATCATTAGTAACTTTTCATGGTGTTATGCTACACAAACATTTTCAAGGTGCTGTAGTTTCTCTTTATGGCGGGATTTTATATCATATCGTAATGAAACCTCTGATTTTCAGGTACATTGACATGGCAGAGTCCTTGTGTCAGAAGCGTGCACTGGAAGCATTCAGGTTGGATCCTGCAAAATGGGGAGGTATGCGCAATTGTTGACATATCAGTTCTATGACGGTTGAGACCGAATCGACATGATTTGTATCTTTAAGCCGTATGGAAAATGATCAATCACCACAGTTATCTCAGCAATTAGTTTATGTTATCGGTGTTTGTGACTTCGGTATCCCCTTCCATGTTGTAGTTAATGTGCAGCCACTATCTGGTTCTCCTTCCAACTTCCAAGTCTACACTGCCTTGTTGAAACCTCACGATAGAATAATGGCTCTTGATCTTCCTCATGGTGGGCATCTTTCCCATGGTTATCAGGTATTCAAATTTCCATTATACTTAATTTCTCATGTTGTGGTAGTTCTATTCAACCTTTCATCTACAATAGTTGATTTGGTATGAACATAATGTCCCACTATGCTCTGCATGTATGTGAGAGCTGAATTATTTCCTTCTCTTCCATTGTGCAGACAGACACCAAGAAGATATCTGCAGTGTCAATATTTTTTGAGACAATGCCATACAGGCTGAATGAGAACACTGGCTACATTGACTATGAGCAGGTACCTAATTTCCAGTCCAAATTAATATCGTGCTATCTCCATATGCGTCGGTTCCTGGGTGGATAAATATTTGCAGACTTCTACCCAGAATCATAATATTATGATGAGAACCTCACTTGAAAAGCAACTCACTGCAGATGGAGAAGAGTGCCACTCTTTTCAGACCAAAATTGATAGTGGCTGGTGCTAGCGCATATGCTCGCCTTTATGATTATGCATTCATTCGGAAGGTATAACCTCCTCACTGGATTTGTTGTATCCAATTTACATTAGCTAAGACAGAGCTTGTAGTTCTTACATATGCTCTTCAGCATGCCTTATATGTGTTTCCAACCGCATAATGACAGGTCTGTGACAAACAAAAGGCCATAATGTTGGCAGACATGGCTCACATTAGCGGGCTGGTTGCGGCTGGTGTGGTCCCATCACCATTTGATTATGCAGATGTGGTGACCACCACAACCCACAAGTCCCTTCGTGGCCCACGTGGAGCCATGATTTTCTTCAGGAAGGGAGTTAAAGAGGTCAACAAACAAGGAAAGGAGGTGTGCCTCTGAACATTGTTGAATTGTTGTGTGCTTGTGCCAGTGTTTCTCATAACAAAAAGACGTACTGATCCTCAGGCTGTTCTTTGTAGTAGTGGTGTTATTTCTGGCATAGTTGCATCATTTATGATTCACTATGTAACAGATTAATGTTTTTTTGTTTTTGTTTTTTTCCTATGATGAACTAACAGACATGTTTACTCTATTTTCATCAAGGTGTTGTATGACTTTGAAGACAAAATTAACCAAGCTGTCTTTCCTGGACTTCAAGGAGGTCCGCACAACCACACAATCACTGGTTTAGCAGTTGCATTGAAACAGGTGATGAGTTGACTGCATAAGCATTATAAAATGTCAATACACAAGAATACTCTTGGACATTTCATGTCTGCATTTCCTTATCTGTTTTATGCTTATATTGCATATAATATCTGTATGAAAACAATAATTGATCTACTCATTCACAATTTGTGCAGGCTACAACCCCTGAGTACAAAGCTTATCAGGAACAAGTACTCAGAAATTGCTTCAAGTTTGCCGAGGTACAACCCAAAGGAGTCAAGGAAACATGTCATGGAAACAAGATCATGAAATATATACTTTATTTGCATGCAACCTGGAAATTTAGGAGAAAAAATGTTGTTTTCCTCATCAGTGCTGCATTAATGTAATATTTCCTCCATGCTTCAAACTCTTTGTATTTCTAATTTTGCAGGCTTTAGGGGAGATGGGATATGAACTAGTTTCCGGTGGAACTGAGAACCACTTAGTTTTGGTGAACTTGAAGAACAAGGTAAAAAAAACGTAATTTCTTGTTGCAATTACATAAAGGAATGCTCTCTTCAAGTAGGAAATCAGGTCTGTGAGATGGAAAATAACTGCATTAATATCGCTTTTTCGGTGTTTCTGTTTATACAGGGTATTGATGGCTCCAGGGTCGAAAAAGTGTTGGAAGCTGTTCACATTGCTGCAAACAAGAATACAGTTCCCGGGGATGTGTCTGCCATGGTTCCTGGTGGCATCAGGATGGGTAACTGCTTTTTTCGTTTTGTGGATAGAGATGGATTAAGGGTCTTAATTGGTAGTGGGAATTCCTCTTTTCCTTCATATATCCAAAGATTCTTATGAAGCCATTGTCTCCACAGGAACCCCAGCTCTTACCTCTAGGGGATTTGTTGAGGAGGATTTTGTTAAGGTTGCTTACTTCTTCGATCTTGCTGTTAAGATTGCAGTGAATGTTAAAGCTGCGAGCACAGGTTCGTAAAATCCTCCATTGATCTTATACTACAATGTCCAATGGCTTTCAGTTGAGCTGCATAGTATCGGTTGAGCAATGTGCCTATCTCATTCAAGATGTTGACTTTTGGAGTTCACATAATTCCTTTTACTTCTTGGAAACCAGGGACAAAGCTGAAGGACTTCGTAGCGGGGATGCAGTCCGCCAATTTCCAATCTGAGATTGCCAAGCTCCGCCATGATGTTGAAGAATACGCGAAGCAGTTCCCGACGATTGGCTTTGAGAAAGAGACAATGAAGTACAAAAGCTGAACAAGGCGCCCGTTGCTGCTGCATTAGGTATAAGCACCGGTAGATTATCATTTGCTACTTATGAAATGAAAGCATAATGTCGTCTCATTGAAAGCATTAGTACATTTGGATTCAACATGAGACAATGTTGAAAGACGAGTAGTCATCTTATCTTACACTCGATGTTAATATTTGATTGTCAGTGGAGCAGGTTGGAAGGGTTTGCCAAATGAATGCTTATCTTCAAAGACATCTTACATCCAAGTCATGAAGCCATTATGTATGAGATGTAAATGTTGGCCTTTCTTGTATTACGATTTACGAATGCCTGTAAAGCAACGAAACCGACCACGGTTTATGTCGATACTAAATATATACAGAGAAAGGCTAATTAGTTGGTGATGAATTGCAAGAATAAACGTATGCACCCCTGCTTCATCCTCGTTAGTTCTTTATCTTATTATGATCTCATATGTAACAGGTTTTGGGATTTGGTGAGACATAATGTAACACCTTGTGTGAAGTACAACAAGAATGGGTGACCTTATTGAGAGTCACCTTGAATTGCACCCAAGTCGAAAACAGTGAGGGTCGAGACCCAAATCGGACAATATTTTCGTCGAAAAAAGGTTCGGGATGTTACAAGTGGTATCAGAGCCTCTCTGCGTCCTTCTTGAATGATGGTGGGCCAAAACTCAACAAGGATGTTGAGTCCCAAGCATGGTTGTCACGCCGTCCGGCGTGCCACTGGTTGAACCTAGTTCAACCTATATCAGTCATAAAACCGGCATGACACCACCGGTATGACCGGCATGATCGATATACGAATCTCTAAGTAAAATGATCTTATATTAGTGAATTTATTTGATAAAAAGTAATTTATTTTATGTGTTAAAAAGTTAAATATTGATGTTATTTGTTGGGTTCAAGTGCAAATATTTAGGTATTGACGTTAAATGTCGTGCTTAAATATGAGTATTTGTAAATTATTTGTAATATTAACCGGTACAAACCGGTATGTACCACCGGTCGAACCATTCCACTTGCTAAACCGGCACACTGGCACAAACCGGTTTGACAACCTTGGTCCCAAGGGAGAGGGGGGGGGGGGGGAGGTGTATGTAACAGTTTAGGCAAATCCCACATCGACAAAGCACGGGAGAGATCCATGGTTCACAAGTAAGAAATCGGCCTTAACTAACAAGACGCGTTTTGGAGTGAAATGAAAGAGTTCTTGCGAGAGCTCTGAAGTTAAACGTGCTCAGTGTGGAGTACAACAAGGATGGGTGACCTTAAAGGAAGTCACCTTGAATTGCACCCCAAATCGAAAATCGTGAGAGTCGAGGCCCAAAGCCGACAATATCTTCGTTGAGAAAAGGTTTGGGATGTTACACAAGACCATCTTCAATAATAAGTTAAAAAATCAAGAGTTCAAAAAAAATCTTTCAGTTCTCTCTTTCTTTCTCCGCTCTTTTTCTGTCCTCCCCCAAAAGAAACAAAATTGAAACAAGTGACATCCTATTAGGCCCCGTTTAGTATTATTTTGTTGTTGTTGTGGTTATATTGATGTTGTGCAAACACATGCACAACCACAACAAGAAAAAAACAGACAACTCAAACCTGTTTAGTTGGCAAATATGAGAAATTATAAAAACTCACAACAAAAAACAGAAACGCGTTTAGTTACTTCTCAGTAAAAACTAAAAACCAAAAATCAGCATACTTGACATCAATCGAGCATTAACTTAATTTCTAGTAAGCGATTGTTATTAGTAACTAATTATGATCACAATCCCAGAAAAATTGGTCATCGGTTGGCAAGAGCAAGTGGCATTCTTTGATGACAATTCTTTGGAGCTTGAAAATGCCACCAAGAGCAGAAGTGAAGGGAATGGACCAAATTCTGCATAACCCGTTCGAGTTCCAGAATTTAAAGGAAAGAACCAAACTAAATCCCATTCTTCATTCGATGATCAAAAGCGAATTCTCAGGAAAAAAAAACTGTTCGTAGGAAGTGAGAAGTCCCAAACTTCGCGATTTCACGAAACCTACAGAAAGGCGAGCGGCGACATGGTGTGGCGGGGGAACGAGCGGACGACGGGGTCTAATGCGGCGAAGAGCTTGAAGGATGAGCGTTGGCGGCGGGTGCGGCGGCAAGACCGAGATGCCAGAGGGATCGTCGTTCCTCTCGGAGAGGAAGAAGATGAGTAGCGGCGGGCGAGTTTTTGTGGCTGAAAAAATAATGGAACGGTTGAATGGCGAGTAGGGTTGGGGCCTTGTGGAGGGGTTGAAAAAAACAAACATAATTTTCGTATGTGAGGGGGCTCGAACTGGGGGTTAGTTTAATGAAATCAAAGACACAACCAGTAGAAATCCCGTGTTAAACATGTTTACGAATCAGATCCAAAGCAATAATTTATTGTTTCTCTGATTTGGGCCTAGTTGTGTAACTCTGTTTCACAACAAAAATTAAAAACCTAACTAAACATTATTTTTCTCCTCGGTTTCTGCAATTTTATAAAACACAACAGAAAATAAAAACAAGCAACAATACTAAACGGATTTTAGATCTAAGATTTCAATTTTGTTCTGTCACCTCTCTCATTTGCTCACTCCATCTCTCGTCTTTTTTACTGTTGTGAATGAGAGGAAGACGACGAAGTCTTTGGTCTACATGAACAATATAAATGCAAGCCCTATCCTCTGATTCATCATTAGCCCTTGTGCCATTTTTACTCTTATTCCAGAAACTGAAAGGAAGAGGATTGATCCGAGTACATACACAAACATCCTTTCGGAGTATTCTAAATACTAGTCGTGAACTTATGGAATATGTGTATTTTTTTATGCTTGAATATTTTTTTTATAGTAAACACTCAATATCAATTAACTTGGTATTGAATATTAGTTTTCCTTATATCAAATACAAGTTGCAACATGTTTTGACTAATAAAACCAAGTTAAAAATGTAATTAGTATATGTGACATTTATGAATAGAACGATGAATACTAATTCAAGCATACAGAAAACTAGTTTTTGAATGATGAATACTAGTTCAAACATACATAATACTAGAATACAAAATATTGGGTGTAAATGTGGTGAATACTCGTTGTTACATAACCATAAAAAAAAATACGGGTTGTTACATGTAGAATATGTACTGTGTTTGTTTCTGGAATATTTTTCGTCTATGTGACGAATATTTGTTGACCTGTTTTTTAATAATGACTCATGTGATTATAAATATTGGTGCGAAGCCTATGAATATGTGTTCATTTTTGTGAAATATCTATTGGTCTTGAAGACCTCAACAATCAGTGGCAGATCACTTGAGACATCATCGTATATTAGTTGAACTATTATTAAATATGAGAATTGATTTACTTGACTTGAATATGTATTGAGTAAACACTGAATATCAATTAAGTTAGTATTGAATATGAGTTTATATGGTATTAAATATTAGTTCAACTAGTACCAAAGATAATTGATTTATTTAACTTGAATATTTGTTGAGTAAACATTGAATATCAGTTAGGTCCATTTTTTACCCGAGATTATATATTAGTTGAACTAGTATCGGAGATGAGAATTGGTTGACACTCATATGCCCAATGTCATTATTTGCACCTCACCTAGTTCACTTAGACCACAACATGTATAATCAGGTTAGCTCATATTTTGTGTTAAGATCTACTTATATTCAATATCAGGTAAACACATATTCAGTACTAGGAGAACTCATAACCAAAAGTAAGTTAAATTGTATTCAGTAATAAAATCAAGTCATATTCAGTACCAAAACAACCCAATTAAATAATACAAATATTGATAAACCGTTAATTGCACATGTTTTTACCCCTATTCTAAAGCCGTTTGAGGTGTTGATTCTCGTGTTTTAGGCCGATTTCACGCTAGGTTGTGCTTGTTTGTGATATTTCAGGTCCTAGTAAGTGAATGAAGGTTTGGGAGCGAGTTCGGGGTCGATTGGACGAAGATCGGACGTGTGGCGAGTCGCTGAGGAAGCCACACGGGCACAAATAAAACCCACACGACCGTGTGAAGGAGCAATGTGGTCGTGTGGGATTATGCGAGGCTTCACACGGGCCGACTGGGTGAGCCACACAACCGTGTGTCCCTGGTCGTGTAGGTAGCCTGAAGTGCAATTATTGGAGACGCGGCGTTTTGTATCTCACACGGGCATCTGGGTATGCCACACGGCCGTGTGGCCTGCCCGTGTGATCGGGATTTTCTGGTTTTTACCCAATTTCGGGCCACAAGGGAGAGGATCGATTTTTGAGAGCAAAAACAGAGCCCTAGAGAGAGAAAGTGCGAAGAACACATCCTAGAAGCAATCTTGGAGCTGGGTTTCATCAAATCGAGCTTGGAGATCGTCATAGGAGTAGAAATCATCATCCCAGAGCAGATTCTTCCCATTGTTATGAGTATGACTGCTTTGTATTCTGTTTTCCTCTCTCTCTCTATGGAGTAGAACCCTTCTCTCACTTGGGTATGAAGAACCCTAGTTCCATGTGTTAGGGATTTGATTGTAATGACTTGGGATGATTATACTGTTTGGTTTTAATCGAATGATGCATGTTTTATTGAATTGATTGAAGTCTGATCAGCTTTTCTTGATTTCTGCTGCAACCTGAGATAGATAGAATCTGATTAGGTTGTTAGAGCTTCTTCATTCGGTAGTAGTGGATTGGTTATACGAGAGTTAGCCAGTTTACTGCTTTGTACTGGAATCCAATTCCAGTAGTGGAGTTCTGTGCTTATTGCTTCAGCTTTCTATCCTGGTGAAGACTAGTCGTCTGCCGGGTAGTTAGACTGAGAGGGCTTGGTCAGCTTAAGAGATTCCAAGCTACTGTCGGATCTTCCACAGTCTAATCAACAATAAATCAACCCAGGGTAATTACAATTGAGACCTAATTAAGGAGCTAGGGGGACTCATTCCCGAGTGACTCTTCTTTGCTTGAGAAAACCGTACCAATTCCTGCTTTCTTACTGCTTTTGCTTAAAACAACAATCACTTGACTTAGTTGGCTAGATAATAGATAATCACGGAGTAGGCAGTAGATCTAGACCCCGGGTTGATAATAGAACTTGCCACTTTACTGCATTCTCGGACTGCGATTACACTTGGTCGCAGTTTGGTGCTGTGTTTTGGCCAGTCAAGTTTTTGGCGCCATTGCCGGGGAACCTCTAGGTTATTGGGGAAACGTGAAAATTTGTTACTCTAGCTTTTTCTTTACTGCATTATATCTCTTCCACCTGTGTGCCTTCACGGGTTGCTTCTGCTGATTGTGTGCAGGTAGTGCATGACCCGTAGCCAGTCGGGAGATCTACTACCATTAGACCAGGAGCTTGAACGAACCTGCAGGAACTTCAAGCGGGCTCTAAAGGCGCGAATGGCTGCGGAGGAGGAGCTAGCACAGCTACAGATCGCTGAAGAAGAAGAGATGGAGGATCCACAGGACCATGATGTGGTCCTTCCCGAGGAGCAGACCATGGGATACTACTGGACCGCCAGGGCTGCGGACATGAGGTCACCCATTCAACACCCTCATGTGCCAGCAAATAATTTTGAGGTGAGCACCTCTGTCATCACAATGCTGCGCGGTTCGGTAGCGTTCCGAGGCAAAGAGGGGGAGTGCCCCCGATCACATGTCAGGAGATTCCACGAGCTCATCGATGGAATCAAGATTAATGGGGTCCCAGCAGATGCCATCCAGCTGAGGTACTTTCCATTCACCCTGGAGGGGCAGGCCAAGGAGTGGCTAGACACTCGACCTCCAGGCACTATCACCACGTTCGCCAATCTGGCGGACAAGTTCCTCACTCGCTATCAACCCCCATCCAAAACGGCGGACTTGTAGAAGCAGATCACCCACTTTATCCAGGATGAAGATGAGACCATCCGGGAAGCATGGGAGAGATACAACAGCCTCTTCCTACGGTGTCCCAATCATGGTTTCAATGATGCTTTCAAGGTGGGAACCTTCTACCATGCCCTCTTCCAGAAGACAAGTAGCTGATTGACTCGGCTTGTGGCGGGAACATGTTGACCAAAACACCGCCACGACTGAATCAACTCTTTGAGGAGATGGTAGAGAACGGGTATGATTGGGGAACTGCAAGAAGATCAAGACGAGCACCAGGGCGGGGTGTGCATTCTGTAGCCACCTAGTCATATGATTTGGTGCAGGTGGTGCCGAAACTGGTGTCAGCCATCGATCGCTCTGGGATGATTCCAGGGACCGAACAGCAGCAGGCGATGCTCTGCCACTGGTGCGAGAGCACCCATCACACAGTGGAAGACTGCCAGGCGATGAAGGAATCGACCACACCCAGGAGCAAGTGAACTTCATCAATAATGTTAGGCGAAATGACCCCTACAGTAACACTTACAATGAGGGGTGGGGCCAGCATCCCAACTTCTCCTGGGGTGGGGCAAATTCCAGATCACCAGTCCCCCAGGGACCACCTAGCTTCCAGAGGCCTCCGTACCATCCCACACAGGGGAAATTCCAGCAACAGTAGCAGCAGTCTCTCTACCAGCCCATGCAGGGGCATGCGGCTCAATCACAGCCGCGACCTTTCTAGCAGCTAGGTGCAGCCCCTGCCACCCCAGTGCAGACTGATCCGATGGCTGAACTGCGGGACTTGGTGGGTTCTCTCGCCAGTTCTAGTTCTCAGAAATTCAACACTATCGACCAGTTCATGGAAAAAGCCTCGGGTAAATTCCTGGCTCTTGAAGCTGGCCAGAGGAACACACAGGCTGTCTTGCAGGATATCCAAACCCAGCTGGGGAGCGTGGCTCAAGCAGTGGCGCAAAGGCTCCAGGTACCTTGCCAGGTCAGACCATTCCCAATCCGAAGGACCCGAATGCCCACTGCAATGCCATCACAGCCAGGAGTGGCAAGATGACTACTGATCCACCTGTTCAGGCACTAGAGAGAGATGCCCCTGCCTCGGCATCTCCAGCGGCTGAAGAAGAAGCGAAGCAGGAGGTTGAGGTGCCTGCGCCTAAACCGCAACCAGTAGTGAAGGAGTATATCCCTCAACTCCCCCTCCCTACTCGGTTGCACAAAGACAGGCTAGAGGCAGAGTTCGGGAACTTCATGTCCATGCTTAGGAAGCTGAATGTCCAAGTACCTTTCCTGGAGGCACTATCTCAAATGCCTAAGTATGCGAAGTTCCTGAAAGATCTTCTCTCAAAGAAGCAGAAGCTGAGCGAGCTAGCCACTGTGGAGCTCAGCGAGGAGTGCTCGACCATTCTACAGAACAAGCTTCCGCCGAAGCAGAAGGACCCAGATAGTTTTACTATCCCTTGCTCTATAGATAAATTGCATGTAGAGAGGTCCTTGGTGGATCTAGGTGCTAGTATCAATGTTATGTCGTATAAATTGTTCCAGAAACTAGGCCTAGGTGAACCCCGGTGCTACTAGGATGAGCCTTCAATTAGTTGACCGATCTATAGTTCATCCTAGGGGCATAGTGGAAGACCTTCTGGTTAAGGTTGGCAAATTCTTTTATCCTGTGGATTTTGTTGTCTTGGACATCAATGAGGACACAGAAGTGCCCCTTATACTGGGAAGGCCTTTCCTAGCCACCGCCAAGGCTCTCATAGATGTGCATGACAGGACCTTAGTCTTGCGGGATGGCGAGGAGCGAATAACATTTTCAATTGCTAATACTCTCCCTGCTTCTTCGCCTTTGCATGATGTTTCTCACCAGGAGCACGAGTCTGTCGTGTATCCTTCTGTGCTTCCCACTTTGCAGGATCCCCCTCCCATACCTTCATCGCCACTCCCGTCCACTCTGTCACCAAAAGAACAGATCAAGGAGGAGTGGCGGCCGAAGCTGTAGGTAGCTAAGCCTGCTCGCAAGAAAACCGGAGACCACTATGAGCTGGTCCCGCCTCCTGAACCTCGACCACCTTGGCCATCCGAGTATTCACTCGCTTGTATCCTGCCGGATGGCCAAGTCGAGTTGGCGAGTGCTGGTGGCCACATTCATCGGGTGCATGGCCACCATCTGAAGCTGTACCTCAAGAGCGAGGTGGATCCGCTCTTGAAGGCACCCGCGCCTACACCTCTCTGAGGATCCACCTACTGGCGTCCAGCTAAAAGACGGTAAAGAAGCCCTTGTGGGGAGGCAACCCCACTGAGGTTTGCATTTTCTTACTTTTTTCCTTTTGATTTTTTGTGTTTTTTAGTCTTGAGGTGTTGTTCACGAGTTGTATGTTGTTCTGGAGTGAAAACAGGTCAAATTCGGAGTTCTGGCAGCCCACACGGCCAGCCCTGAAAGTCACACGACCGTGTGGAAATGGGTTTTGGCTGTGTGGAATCCCTGGACTTTTCACACGGGCAAGAGGGGTCCCTCATACGGCCGTGTGGAGTTGGCCCCTGCCCGTGTGAGCTCTCGACATTGTCCACACGGCCAGGTGTGCTTTGCACACGGCCGTGTGGAATTCCTCGGCCTGCCCGTGTCGGCCGACACGGGCATATGTGCACCTCACACGGCCGTGTGAGCCTGCCCGTGTGGCCGAGCCACGGGTTATAAATTCGGCTGACACGGCCGAGTGGTCAGAAATTCAAACTTCACTCGTCGGAATCCTCTCCCCCTCGCCGGAAAACCGCGACTTTCCGCCCTCTTTGTCGATTTTTCGGCCATTTTTGGTCAGTTTTTCACAAATCCAACACCACACCCACCCTTTCCTCCGCATTATCAGACTATCCCTCGATTTTGAGGTGATTTGGACTGATTTTGAGTCGCTGGAGGAGATTTCCGGCAAGACTCCGGCGAGGCTCCGACGAGCACTTCCAGGCAGTTTTTCGGCATTTCGTCGCTTCCATAGCTTCCCCCTCATCATCCCCTACACCTCTACTTGAGTCTCCAGGTTTGATTTTGACCTTAACTATGTTATTTATGGAGAATTGGGTGTTAGGGTGCATGTTTAGAGAACCACTTTGAATCCTTTGAATTGTGTTCAATTGATTGAGGGGAATGCTTGGATTATGTATGAATTGTGTTGGGCAATGTCCCCCTTGCTTGTTTGAGCCCTTGTGTGCAAGAATTTTGTCAATTTCATGCTTAACTTAATAGTGCACACAAGGTGTTCGATGAAATGCCTGTTTCCGTACCTGTTTGGGGGAGTCGGTTGGAGCCCTTAATGATGTGCTTTGAGGGTGTGTTTGCTATGGATGTGAACCTTGAGTTGCCTACTTTTTCATGGATGTGCACCCCCACCCCGATTATGCTTGTTTGATCGAGTTCTTGACCCCCGAACTAAGGATGAAACTATGGTTCGGCTGTTTTCTGTTCTTAAGTGTGGGGGTGTGATTAACATTTTCCTTGGCTCTTTTGGTTCCACTTTGGGTAGTTCTTTTGGAGGAGCATGACGAAGCCCGACCTCAAGCACCCGTTTATTCGAGATTTGAGGAGGGGTCCCCACCAGGATCGTTTTAAGAGCGTCATGGCCTGCCAGTTTGGACAGTATCATTGCTGGTCCAAGCGGGAGTTTGAGAAGTTGCACTGCTACGAGCACTTCTCCGCCATTGTCACCAACCGCCCTTGGTGCCGCCTACTCTGCATTTGCGAGAAGGTTTACCACGAGCTCGTGCCTGAGTTTTACACGACCTTCCAGCACGCCGACACGGAGAATGGGAAGGACGGAGAAGCCATCAAGTTCAGGCTCGGCGGTGCACCCCGATCCATGAGCTACCACGAGTTGGCGACTGCCCTCGACCTCGGCATGGTCGATGACAGGGACTACGTCACCGAGCTTCTCGAGCCAGAGGGGGGTGAACTTCAAGACACTGTACACCCGCCACGCTCGGCCAGGCCAGCGTCCCTTCTCGGCGGGGAAGACGAAGGCCAGCACATTGCAGCTCGACAACCGCATTCTCCATCACTTGCTGGCCAAGTCTTACACTCCAGCCTCGGGCACTGCCAGCGCCATCACCAAGAGAGCCATGTACTTCATCCAGTCTATGCGCCAGTGGGATCATCCCCTCCACTTGGGTTCGATGGTGGCGAGGACCTTCGACAAGAGTGCTTCTGAGCTGAAGAAACTCCACTGCACTCCCCTCATCACCCGCCTGGCCGCCTACTTCCAGATATCACTTTAGGGGTGCACAGAGCAGGGAGACACCAGTGTCTTTGGCTCATTTACGATAGGTCACATGCACCTGCTTCGAGAAGAGCGAGGAGTCAAGTGGATCGAGGGGTTTCCTCAACCTCAGATCCCAGAGGAGGACCAGCCGGAGGTTCCTGAGTGTGCGGATGATAAGGATGTCAACCCGGAGGATGTGGATGATACTACTGCCGCCCGCCCCACCACCTTCGAGTACGGGGGTGGCAGTTCCACTTTTCCCGGCCAGGACTACTTCACTCAGCAGTTCGAGCAGCTACGTCTCCAGAATCAGCATCTCTACGACCATCAGCTCCAGTTTCAGCAGCAGTATTCGGCTCACCATGCCGAGTACCAGACCCGGATGGCCGCTTATGATGACCGTCTGGATCGGATGGAGACCCAGCAGGGGGTGACCCTGGCTCGCATCGAGAGAGAGCAGGCCCGATCTCGGCGCATGCAGGAGGTCCAACAGCATCTGCTCCAGCTGCTACCGGGTGAGCAGCCAGTCTGGAGGACTCCCTGGGAGGACTCTCCACTTCCACCTCCACCAGCTGATGATGATGATGCATTCATGAATGACATCGATCTGGACAACGTTGGCGACGAGTAGGCTGTACTTGTCGCCCCTCGGTGTGTGTTTTTGTTTTAGACTTTTTATGTTTGCTCCATGTGTTTGAGGAGCTTGAACTGAGTCTGTCGTTTGTTTTTGTCCTTTTGGTTTTCTTTTGTGGATTTTTTATTTTGTGGCCATCTGGGCCAACTCTGATCCCTAACGCACGGTGTGCTAGTGTGTTCTTGATGTTCCTTTAGTGCAGAAATGCCTGTTCGTTCCATATGTCCCCCCGCTGACTGGTCCACTTCCAGTCTTCTGCAGTATTTCAATCCGGTAACATCGTTCCCCTTATCTCTCCCTCTGCTCCATTGAGGGCAATGTCGTGCTTAAGTGTGGGGGGTGCTTTGTATCAGTTGGAATTTATATACGTGTGCTTGAAGCCTAGTCCGCTGTCCAAATCTCGAGATTTGAGGGCTCCAAGTACGGCTGTTTGATCATATTGGCACTGTGTTTCGATTGGTGAATTGAATGGTTTTCGGATTAATGCATGACAACTGGATGGTGACTAGGACAACCTATAATGATGACTGAGACGTGTAGTGGAATTGTGTAGGGTTCAGTCTTTCAACTGTTTGCTTACCAATTGTGACTTGGATTGATTACTTGTCTTTGACAGTCTCGTATGCATCTAGTTCAAGGATCGGAATGAGAGATAGAGCATATAGGTAGCCATGTGAGATCTGAGCCTACTCATTTCTTTCTTGTGCGATAGATCCCTCTTCCATGATGTGTAGCATTCACGTTGTCATTAGCTAAGATGATGGAGGCATAGGATTAGCCCACGACCAAATTGACTTTCCTGGTGTGTCATACCCCCTAGTCAGCCCCTTTGAGCCGTGTGTTCTCCTTTATTTCGGTCTGCAATGAAAAATCACCCTTTTGCATCTTTTAGAAGGTTCCATAGAGTGATTTTTACATGTTCTCTGCTGTTTCTGCCAAATGTAATGTGAGAGTTGGAGGTAGTTCTTAAAAAGTTGGGCAGGTGTTTGAAAATGTGCAGAGGTGGTGGTTCTCTTAAGAAATGGAAAAAATGAAAGAAAAACAAAGAAAAAATGAAAGCAAAAGAGAGCCACCACCAAAAATCTGAATAGTGCCCATTAAGTGATGTTTCTTAGCAGTCTGGCTTAGAAATACTAGCATTTATGTGACCTCCTTCGCTCTTGTACTCTAAAGAATTTGAGTAATGCAGAATAGCAGAAAGAAATTACTGGTTTGATTGACTGTGAGTTTGTTGGGTTTGGAAATGTGGAACCTTGTGCTATGAATACTTCCACCACCTAAAAGGCCTTTTCCCCATGTCCAAGACCCTAGCCAGTCACTTGAACCTGTGTCTAAGACCTCCGGATTAGTTAGTGATGACAACCATTTATGTGAACTCTAACATTTAGAGGTTGCCGTCATGGTGAAGAGATATTAGGAATTGAGAGAATAAGTATGCGCATTTTTCGCATCAAATTGTCCTGACCCCACTGGGCGAGAGTGAGCGATTCATTTCCTTGTTCTTTACACTCTTTACCCCGGTGAGGACCTAGATGGCTCGGTGATAGACCGATAATTACACATATTTTCACCCCTATTCTTGAGCCGTTTGAGAGGTTGACTCTCGGGTTTTAAGCCGATTTCACGTGAGGTTGTGTGTTTATGTCATATTTCAGGATCCGGCTTTGGAATCGAGGCGAAGGAACGAGTTTTGGGTCGAAAGGAGCAAAGTTGGGACGAAGTGGGCTGCAGGAGGAAAATACCCGGTCAGGTGGCAAAATACCCGACCGGGTATTTATTGTTTTGGCCCGCGTGAGAAACAGAGGGGGGCCCGGGCGTGAAGCTTAAATCCCCGACCGGGGATTTTCCCCTGGCATGAAACGTGCGTTTTAATAATACCCTGTCGAGACCCAAAATCCCCGACCAGGTATTTCGACCGGGTATCGCGACAGGCAGTTGTTTTAAAGGAAAAGAAGGCCAAAGATCAAGGGGATTCGAGTTTTAGAGAGATAGAGCGATTCCTAGAGAGAGAAAGCGACGAACAAGCGTCTCCAAGTGCCCTAGCTTGATCTTCATCACCATTGGAGGCCAGTTAGAGCTTGGAGAAGTGCCAATCCACGTCCAGGAGCAGGAATCCATCCTTTACAGTATGAATTCCGCGTCTGATTCTGCTTTTGCTTCTTTCTCCATGGAGTAGTTCTCCCATTCATCTGGGTATGGAGAACCCTAGATTTGTATGTTAGGTTTGATTGTATGAACCCAAGTACTAATCCTATGATTTGATTATATTCAATTGAGGCTTGATTGATTGAATGACATGAATCCTGATCAAATTCCTGTTGTTTCTGCTTTAACCTAGAATGAGAATATCTGCCTAGGTTGATAGAGCATCCTTGATTGAAGGTAGGGAGTTGGTGACTTTAGTCGAGGAGCCAACTCACTATTCTGTACCGGATTTACTCCGATAGTGGAGGTTTTGTTTGTCAAGGCCTCAATCTGTTTACTCCGGTGGAGTTTAGTCGCCCGCTAGAGACTCGGATTGAGAGGGTCTGAAGACCTTTAGTCGAGACTTCAGGCTGTTTAAGAACCTTCCGCAGTATAACTATCATAGAAACTGAACTTGGTAATTACAATCCAGCTTAACTGCAGTCTAGGGGGAACCATATCCGGGTGACCTCTCTTAACCTGAATACAACCGTTTACTTGCTTTGTTAGTTTGTTAGTTTAGACTTGCATTAAAGTTTCATTGCTAGATAACGAGAATTCACTGAGTAGTCATCAAATCTAGGACCCGGGTTGATATTAAAACCCAAACCCGCTATACTACGCTTTAGGAAGTGGTTTCACTTGGCCAATTCCTAGGGTGACAGTAGAAGTGAGTCAAGTTTTTGGCGCCATTGCCGGGGACGGCTAGGTTGTTGAAGAAAAGTGATTTCTGTTAATTTAGCTTTTCTTTTCGCGTTGTTTGCTTTGTCCCACTTGTGCCTTCACGGGTTTGCTTGCTTGAGTGTGTGCAGGTAGTGCATGACCCGTAGCCAGTCGGGAGGTTTACTGCCGTTAAATCTAGAGATTGAACGCACCTGTCGCCAACTCAGGAGACAACAGCGAGTTAGACTGGTTACAGAAGAGCGCATAGACGGCCACCTGAGCAGCGATTCTGAGGAAGAGTACAGGATAGACGGAGAGTACAATCAACACCAGGGGAATCATCAGCAGGCTCCCCCGGTGAATCAGGTCCTGGGGAACAACCCCATACCCCAGGATCATGGGGCCCATCATCATCCACCGCCGCCGGGTCCCACCTTGGAGTACTACTACACTCCACGGATTGCTGACATCCGCCCGGTCATCCTCTACCTGCCTATTCCAGCAAACAACTTCGAGATCAAGCCATGCTGGATTCAGCTCATTACAACTTCTATCCAGTTCCATGGCTTGAAGGATGAGGAGGCCAGGGTGCATCTTTCCCGCTTTCTGCAGCTGACGAACGGGTTCAAGCTGAATGGTGTCCCGGATGATGCAATCCGCCTTCATCTCTTCCCCCATTCTCTGGCGGGGAATGCTAAGAGGTGGTTGGAGACCCAGCCCCCATTGTCCATCACCTCTTGGGACGATCTGGCTGACAAATTCGTGCACAGGTACTATCCGGCATCGAAGACTACAGAGATCCAGCTGGAGATCACTCACTTCCGCCAAGAGCCAGATGAGTCACTTCGTGATGCATGGGAGCGGTACATGGGATACTTCTGGCAGTGTCCCCATCATGGCTTTAGTGATGCTTTCACAGTGGGGAACTTCTACAGTGCTCTCTCTCCAGATAGCCAGAGGGTGATTGAGTCTCTATGCCCAGGAGGGGATATTCTTACTAAGACTCCACCCGAGCTGAACCAGATGATCAACACCTTGGCTGCCAGAGATCATTCTTGGGGGCAGAGCAGTAGAGGAAGACATTCCCGGGACCATGGTGTGCACGCCATGGAGACCAGATCCGGGCTCGAGCAGCAGGTAGCTGAGCTAGTGCAGACATTGAAGCAGCCCAACAGTCTTATTCCGGGCAGAGGTGTGGCTACACCTCCAGTAGCTCAATGTCAGTGGTGTGAGAGCTCAAATCACCTAGTGGAAGACTGCCAGGCTATGAGGGAGTCTACTACCCCCCAAGAGCAGTTGGACTTCATCGCCAATGCTCGGCGCCTCGACCCGTACAGCAACACATATAATGAGGGGTGGCGCCAGCATCCCAACTTCGCCTGGAGCAGCAACACCACTAAACCACCTGGTTTCCCAGCACCAGCAGGTGGTTTTCAGCAGAGGCAGCCCTTCCAGACTAGACAGGGGCCAGCCCCACAGCACCTGCCCTACCAGCCTAGGCAGGGGCTACCATTCCAGCAGCCCCAGCGCCAGTTCGCCGAGCCAGCAGCAGCTCCGGCCCCAGATGACCGGATGACAAAGCTGGAAAATAATCTAGCCTCATTCATGACTAGCACTCAGGCTGCTATCACGTCACTGGAGGCAGGTCAGCGGAACCAGGGTGCCATTTTGCAAGATCTGCAGACCCAGGTGGGCATCTTGGCCCGCCAAAACATTACCAGGGCACCGGGGACTCTACTTGCCACCACTATCCCAAATCTTTGGGATCCTCACCAGCATCAGCAGCTGGATGCCATTTTTACCAGGAGCGGTAAGACCATATCTGCTGATCCTGTCCCGGCCAGTCAGGAGGAACCACTACCTGCTTCAGCACTTCCAGCCGACGATGCAGAAGTGCGGGTGGAGAAGGAAGCCCCTACTCCCAAGCCACAACCAGTGGTTAAGGAGCATGTACCCCAGCTTCCCTTCCCCACTCGCCTACATAAAGACAAGCTGGAGACTGAGTTTGCCAAGTTCATGGCAATGTTGAAGCAGCTCAACATCAGCATACCGTTCGTGGAGGCACTGTCGAAGATGCCCAAGTATGCCAAGTTCATGAAAGGCCTCCTCACCGACAAGAAGAAACTTGGGGATCTTTTGACAGTGATGCTCAGTGAGGAGTGTTCTGCTATCCTGCAGAACAAGCTGCCGAGAAGCGAAAAGACCCAGGGAGTTTTACTATCCCTCTTACTATTGGCAGCATGCATGTAGGCAAGTCCTTGGCGGACCTAGGTGCTAGCATAAATGTCATGCCATATAAGTTGTATAAAAGGCTAGACCTAGGTGAACTTAGCCCTACTAGGATGAGCATTCAGCTAGCTGATCGTTCCGTTGTGCATCCTAGGGGGATCATAGAGGATCTGCTTGTTAAAGTAGGTGCATTCACATATCCTGTTGATTTTGTTATTCTTGATATACATGAGGATGTGGATGTGCCTTTGATTCTGGGTAGACCATTTCTTGCCACCGCCAAGGCACTTGTTGATGTGCATGATGGTAAACTGATCTTGCGTGCTGGGACTGAACATGCTACTTTTTCTGTGACTGAATTCAATCACTGTGCTATGATTGCAGTCACACCTGTGCATGCCATTTCTGATCAGGTACACGAGCCTGTCGTGTATCCTTCTGCACCTCTCATTTTGCAGGACCCTCCTATCATTCCTTCGCCGCCACTCCAACCAGCCTCGCCTCCAAACAAAAAGATCAAGGAGGAGTGGCGGCCGAAGCAGCAGGTTGCTAAGCCTGTTCGGAAGAAAGGTGGAGACCACTATGAGCTGGTCCCACCCCCTGCACCACGACCACCCTGGCCGTCCGGGTACTCACTCGCCTGCATCTTGCTGGATGGCCAGGTTGAGCTGACCGATGATGGTGGTCACATCCGTCGGGTGCATGGCCACAACCTGAAGCTGTACCTCAAGAGCGACGTGGATCCGCTCTTGGAGGCACCTGTTCCTGCACCTCCTTGAGTATCCACCATGGGCGTCCAGCTAAAAGACGGTAAAGAAGCGCTTGTGGGGAGGCAACCCCACCACGGTTTGCATTTCTTTTTCCCTTTATTCTGAGTTTTTGTGTCGTCTTGAGTCAGTTGCATGTCTGTGGTGAAGTTCGGTCGTCTGTTATGCCTCGATTTGGTGCTATCGTGCAGGAGAGGTCGAAAATTTGGGCGAATGAGTTTTTTGGCCGGAAGGGGACAAATACTCGGCCGTGGGCCAAAATACCCGACCGGGTATTTTTGGTTCACGTTCGGGCCCCCTTCTGTTTCTCGGGGTGAAAAATGGAAAACCCCCGACCTGGTCCCAAAAATACCCGACCGGGTATTTTTGGTTCACGGCCGGGGATTTCCCAAGTCAGGACGCTGCGTTTTAGAACCCCCCGACATTGACCCAAAAATACCCGACCGGGTATTTTTGGCTCAAGGCCGGGGATTCCCTTGCACTTGGCACGCCGCGTTTTGAACCCCCGGTCGTGGAATCAAAAATACCCGACTGGGTATTTTTGAGGCCCGACCGGGTATTTTTGAGGCCCGACCGGGTATTTTTGCTATTTATAGCAAACCCCCGGCCATTTTCTCTCTCTAACCTCATTTTTCAAATTTTCCCCCTCTCTCTTCCTCTCAAACCCTCTCCCCTCTCTCTTCTGAGAGCCGCCGGCCGCCGCCCCTCAGCCGCCGGCCGCCGCCCTCCTCCGCGCCGACCGCCGCCCCCGTCGCCGCCCTCCTCCGCGCCGACCGCCGCCCCCGTCGCCGCCGGCCACCGCCGCCGCCGCCGGTCGACTTTCCGGCCACTTTCCGGCGGTTTTCCGACCACTTTCCGGCGAGCCTCCCGGTCTTTTTTGGCTTCTGTCTCGCGTCCCTCACCCGTTTTTGTGCCTTAGCTACAGTTCTCCTTGCGTTTCCAGGTGTGTTTCTTGTTAACTATTCTTCCTTGGAAAATCGAACTGTAGATTGTAGGACCGAGAACTATAATTTCTTGCATGATTTAGGATAGGGTGAGGGATGCTTTGAATATATGATGTATATGCTGCCCGTGTACTTATTGTGGTTGGTTCTGTGTTTCCTGCCTTGATTTCGGTTGGGTTGCTTGCGATTCAACCGTCTGTGCTTACAACTGTTAGCCTAGGTGCTCCTTAAGTGTGGGGGAAGTGATGAACCCATGTTGTTGGTCCTGGAAAGTCTTTTCTTGGTTCCACCTTTGGTTTGTTGATTTTGCAGGAACATGTCCCTCGACCATGAGTTTGTGTAGGGCCTGCGCCTACACCCAGAGTGACTCGAGGGAAGTTGGAGCGCCACCACCATCTGGAGTGGGCAGTGTTAGAGAAGCTCCACTGCATGCAGGAGCTCACCGCCGCCATCAGCCACCGCGATTGACGGACGCTGCTGGCTATCGACGAGCCCACCTACACTGAGCTGGTGTGGGAATTCTACACCACCTTCTAGTACAACAGCAAAGCGGCTCGGGACTCCTCTGCAGTGAGATTCAGGCTAGGTGGCTATCCCCGGGAACTGACTATTGACGGGTTGGCCTCCACCTTGGGGATCCAGTATCACCCATCTTCCTGCCACGTGATCGAGGTCCCGAATCCAATAGACTGGAACATGGATGAGTTCTACTCGCAGATTGCCCGGTTCGCCTATGCGTTCGACTACTTCGACGCTGGCCAGACGTACGTCCGCACCCTCAAGCCGTAGTGGCACATCCTGAACTTGCTCATCACCCGCTCCATCGTCCCCAACGTCACCGGCTCGCACAAGATTCCGAAGCGGGTGCTCTATGCTATGTTCTCGATGAGGGACCCGGATCACATGCTACATTTGGGTTCCTTCGTGGCCACCACCTTCTCTCGATGCCACGGGAAGCCCAACCATCTCTACTGTGGTCCTCTGATCACCCGTCTAACGCGCCATTTCAACATCAGCTTCCAGGGGCTCACACATTCTTCTGCACAGGGCGGCTCCACCCCCCTCAGCCGGGAAGTGCTCCATAATGCACTCCTCCTGACCAGTGATGGCACCCGCACCTGGGTGGATGGGCTTTCTCTGCCTCCTGATGAGGATGAGGATCTCGATGACGATGAGGAGGACGCTGACTATTCTGGCGCGGAGGAGGATGAGGATGATGATGATGATGATGGCGGGGCCATGGATGTTGATGAGCCGGAGCCCCCGCTCTCTCCACCAGGGGACCTTCGGCCACGACGGAGACAAGAGCGAGGTGAGTCCTCCTCCGGTCCTTCTGGTCCGTCGATGGCTTCTGGCCCGTCGATGTACTTCTTCACGGAGCAGTTCCAGCAGATGGGGCTCCAGTTCCAGCAGCTCGGTATTCAGAACCAGCAGCTCATGGACCATCAGGTCCAGTTCCACCAGCAGTATTCGGCCCACCAGGCTGAGTACCAGTCCAGGCTGACGGTTATTGACGATCGCCTCGGCCGCTTAGAGACCCATATGGGAGTCACGGGTGCTCTCATCGAGCGGGAGAGAGATCGAGGCCGCCGACTGATGGAGTACTCTGAGCACCTGCTCCAGGCATGCCACCCCCCAGAGGAGCACCACTGGACCACCCGGTGGGATCATTCACCACCACCACCACCGCTGGATGATGGAGACGACGACCTCATGAACCAGATCGACTTCACTGGTCTAGGAGGCGGTTCCTAGTGCCATGTTTTGAGTGTGTTTTTTTTATCAGTGTGGAAACTGTCTTGTGTTGGTTTGGTTTCTTTCTTTTTATGTTGGATTCTGTACTATTGGGCTGACCATTAGACCTGACGTATTGTGTTGAGCTCTTTGGTTTCCTTTAGCTGTGCTTTGTTCCATACTGGTCCTCTCTCCAGTCCGCTTCACTCCGACTGGTCCGTTTCCAGCCTCCTGCAGTCCGTGCATACCGGTAACATCGTTCCCTTTTCCTTCCCTCTTCTCCATTGAGGGCAATGTCGATCTTAAGTGTGGGGGGATGTTTATCTTTTGACTGCATTAGATCTGTTTATGTGCTTGGAGCCTAGTCCAATGTCCAAATTTTTAAATTTGAGGGCTCCAAGTACGTGTTTCCGTGCAATTGCGTGCTCAGTATGCTTTGAATCGACAGTCTTTATAGTAATATGCAAACTAGGGAGGTAGTGTAGCACTATGGAGGATGTTGATGCATTTAAGAAGTCTCATTTCTTCTTCATATTGTGTTGGTTGATTGAGTGAATTAGTGATCTTAGGACCCTTGAATTGTGTGGTGTTGTGGACTCTCTACCTGTCATGGACTCTTGTTTCATGTTTTGAGATTAACAGGTGCTCGAAAATGTGCTTCAAAATAACGTATCCTGTGCGAATAGGGCGAAAGTGTGTAAGGGGAGACGGGAATCCGTTCCCAATTTCCACCTACTACCTCCAGCCCCCTTACATGTCTTTCCCCCGCACGAGGCTCGAGACATCCGCTCCTGGCATGGCCGGTAAGAGCCGGGCTCCCGCAAAACCTCTGCTAGGAGGGAGCCCCCATTTTCTGAAAAGCAGGTTGGGACCCTTGAAAAAATATAAGAGAAAACAAGCAAAATAGAAAGAAAAGGGGTTCCAACCATCTTCAAGAAGAAAATAGAGCACCTTGAAAAATGTGAGTCCATGATCCTTTGTTTTTGAGAATCTCTTCATCCACAATTCATTTGTCCTCTGTACACTATTTGCCACGATGTCGACTCGATACTAGTGCTCTCGCCGAAGAAGCTATGAGATGACTTGTGCGTCGGTTGACCTCGTAAGCTGCTAAATGATTTAGGAAGTCCTCTACCTACGATCTGGGTTGTTTGTTGCTATAGAGGTCTGGAGAGTTGCATTGGTTTGAGTTAGGTTTGCTTGCGGACAAGCAAACGGTTAAGTGTGGGGGAGTTTGATAGACCGATAATTACACATATTTTCATCCCTATTCTTGAGCCGTTTGAGAGGTTGACTCTCAGGTTTTAAGCCGATTTCACGCGAGGTTGTATGTTTATGTCATATTTCAGAATCCGGCGTTGGAATCGAGGCGAAGGAACGAGTTTTGGGTCGAAAGGAGCAAAGTTGGGACGAAGTGGGCTGCACGAGGAAAATACCCGGTCAGGTGGCAAAATACCCAACCGGTTTGGCCCCCGTGAGAAACAGAGGGGGGCCCGGGCGTGAAGCTTAAATCCCCGACCAGGGATTATTGGAGCAGACCGAGGATTTTCCCCTAGCATGAAACGTGCGTTTTAATAATACTCTTTCGAGACCCAAAATACCAGACCGGGTATTTCGACCGGGTATCGCGACAGGCAGCTGTTTTAAAGGAAAAGAAGGCCAAAGATCAAGGGGATTCGAGTTTTAGAGAGATAGAGCGATTCCTAGAGAGAGAAAGTGACGAACAAGAGTCTCCAAGTGCCCTAGCTTGATCTTCATCACCATTGGAGGCCAGTTAGAGCTTGGAGAAGTGCCAATCCACTTCCAGGAGCAGGAATCCATCCTTCACAGTATGAATTCCGCGTCTGATTCTGCTTTTGCTTCTTTCTCCATGGAGTAGTTCTCCCATTCATCTGGGTATGGAGAACCCTAGATTTGTATGTTAGGTTTGATTGTATGAACCCAAGTACTGATCCTATGATTTGATTATATTCCCTTGGGCTAAACCATATTCCCTTCATTGGCTCAGTGATCATGCTGTGATCAAGGTGAATAAGCAGGTACGAATTCCATTATCTATTGGAAAATATCAAGACGAGCTACTTTTGAATGTCATTCCAATGCAAGCCGTACACTTGGAGTTAGGTCGGCCTTGACTATTTGACCAAAAGGTTTCTCACTATGGTCGAAAAAACTGCTACACATTCGATCAAGGAGCAAGGAAGCTGACTCTTAAACCTTTGTCGTCGGATGAAATTTGAGCTGATCAGGAGCATATGTTGTGAAGTCGAGCTAGGAACAATGAGGGAACAGGGAAAGGCTCTCACAAGACTCAGCTTTTGGCTAGGCGATATTTGCTGACTGTCCTAGCCGGGAGGAAGGTTCCGCGGAGAAGCAGAGCTCGTCGGCTGCCCTGAAGAGAACCGAATTGGGTGGAGCACTCGGAGCTGCGTCGGATACAACGAACCACGATAGCACGATCTCCAACCACCCAATAACGTGTAGAGACGAAGAAACCCAGCTGGGACGAGCCAAACCAGAGAGTGCCCAAACCCAATTTTCACCTTCAAACGCGACGGACGACGTGCAGCAAACGAGGGAATCGGTCGAGGAGTTCGGGCGCAATTCCACCCAATCCCGCGCTTGGAATCCACTCCTGAGGCCTCAAGGAAGGTGTAGGAGGCGCGAAATCGGGTCGATGATGCTTACAGAAGAAACATCCAGTTTTCAACTGGGTTCGTCGGACTCTGGAAAATCGTCGCCGAAAATTGAGAATTTTGAATTCTTCGGTGGCAGGAAAAATTCAAAACACAATTCGCGGTGGCTGGAGAAACCTCGAATCCTGGGACTAACTGAATTCGATTCATGGCAGTCCGAAGAGCTCATTTCAAGTGGTAAATTGGGAAGGGAAGCTTTCGATCAAAAAGCACCAATTTCTAAAGGCTTGTCGGCAAATCGAGTCTCACCGGAAAGGGGCGTTTTGGCACTAACTTTTTGTGACCCTGTTTGGGATGATTTTGTCAATTATTTTGAGCGCAGGTTGATTCAAGCTTTGAGGGAAAAGCTTTTTAATGTAGGGGGGCTTGATATGATATCAAAACCATCACCCTTTACGTCCCAATTAATTGTTCGGAGATCTATTCAAGTCAACAAGAACAAGGCTGGAATTTTTCTAAGTGTGGAAACGGTTTTGGGAAGCCCACTTTGGAGAGATGTATCTCTCAATTGGCTCAGTAGAAATTCGAGAATGAGGGCTTGTATTGATTCTTGGATGTTGTTCTACATGTTGGAGTGCTTGGGTCGACAAGGGGAAGCCATGAAGGATGTGTTTCAAGTCATTCAAAACTCTATCCTGCAACTTGAAATCTGGCAGAATTTGACTAAGGCAGAGAAGGTGTTCAAGATGCCGACTTTGGAGCTCAGTTCCAGGAGCATGGAGGAGAATCGAGTTCAAGGCATCATTCCACATGAGACTACGTTTGTTACTCTATAGAGGCATGGCATTGGCTAAGGGAAAGCTTACATGGAAGGCTTCCAATGAAGAGCATGAAGATGGAATTAAGAGTTGTTTCTAGCAGCTTGCTTGGAGAAGAAGTGTTTCTTGGTTTACAAGTTTCCTTGTAAAACCCGATTTCCTTTCCTTGTTTAGTTGTAGTTTGTTTCCTTGTTCTTTCAGAATTAGGATAGGTTAATTCTTAGTTATAAATAGATTTGTTTAATGCTTGTAATGGACACATTGAATTTTAATCGAAAGTTACTCCGAGGAGCTTTCCCTTGAGCTAGATTGCTTGAGTTTGGTCTTGGAATTTCGTTCCAGACTTGCAGACCTAGAGATCGACCTTCCATCATCGATCTCGTGGTGTTATTCTACCCAAACCCAGCCTCTTTCCATTGTGTTAAAGTTGCTAGTTTGGTTTACCACCGTCACCCCAAACACCTCTGTTTCTCCCTTCGAAAACCAAATCATCCCACAATTCGATTCGAGCTGCGTCAAATCTGATTAGAGGCCGAGCTAGGTCTCATCAGAAACAAGGTCCATTTGGATGATATATTGTAGAAATGAGGCAATTTCAATTGTCTCAAATTTATTTCATCTGACAATTGATGCGCCAATTCAAATTGATGCAAAACGAAACAATTCAAATTGCATCGACCGAATTGTTGCACTGCTATTATGTATTGTTGAGCATTTTGAACCAATTATTTTATTTTGAGACAATTATGCCAAATTGTCTCATCCAATCATTCCTAAATATATTGAAGTGAGGAATACTAGGATCAGAGCGCTAGCATCCCTTGCTCTCTATCGATTTCTTACTGATGTCTCATTATATTAAACTAAATTTTGAAACCCGGACGAGATGCTCCTCCCACCAATCTCCTCTATAGGATAAAAACCAAGTTTGTCAACCAGGTTTAGCCCGTTGGACCGTTTGAGATAGTGGATCAAGGATTAATGGGTCGATTGGTTTAGCACAGTTTAGGCAAAATATATAGAAAAAGTCTTTATATTGTACACATATATAAAAAATTATATCAAATCTCAATTAACAAATAGATAATAAAATATAACATTACACCAGAAATAATAGTTCGCTAGACATAATCCCAAAGTTGAATCCTTTTTTTGTGAGGATCTTCTTTTTATTAATAACATATAACATTAAAACATTTTCAAACGTTTTAACCTGAGAAAAATAGATAGTAAACGACAAGGAGACAACGATTTACGTGGTATCCTCGTTCGATGTGAACGAGACTAATCCACGGAAGGCTCGCTCAAGGAGCTGTCGATACTGTTGTTATTAGGTTTACTTGTGAAACAATCACACCAACACACACAGCCGAACTCGGCTACACAACCCCTATATAACCCTTATGTCTATCTCCTAGGGTTATATGGTCAATTACCAAACACAACCTAAACTTCTATACGTTGACACTATTGAGCATGATACAACACTCGACATACAATAGCGTCCTACAACACTACCCCTCAAGCGAAGGAGTGAATATCGTGAAGTCCGAGCTTGCCACTGAGAACTCCGAACTGCTCCACTGCTAGCCCATTTGTGAAAATGTCTGCAACCTGACTGTCTGTGTGAATCTTTTGCGGCGCAATTTCTCTTGACGTCACTCGCTCACGAACGAAGTAGCAATCCATTTGCACATGCTTCGCTCTTTCATGGAAAACTGGATTAGCCGCTATGTGTAGAGTTGCCTGATTATCACAGTGCATCGGAGTGGCACTAGAAGTGGACACGCCAAGCTCCTGAAGTAACCACCGCAACCATATAACTTCACTAACCGTAACTACCATTGCGCGATATTCAGCCTCTGCTGAAGATCGGGCCACAACTTGTTGTTACTTGGTCCACCAGGAGATCGGACTATCACCCAAGCGAACGAAGTAGCCAGTAGTAGAATGTCTAGTCTACAAACAACCTCCCCGATCTGCATCACATTATGCATGCAGACGAAGATCTCCATTAGAGCGTAGGAACAGACCCTTCCCAGGTGCTCCTTCAAGACAGCGGAGGACTCTCTGAGCTGCAAGTTTGTGATCAAGACGTGGGGAATGAACAGCCTAACTGAGTATGTTGACCGCATACACAATGTTTGGCCTGGTGACAGTAAGATACATCAACCTGCCTACTAGGCGACGATAACCAGCAGGATCCTTGGCCGCATGTCCTTCTAGAGA